GCGTGGTGCGCGGGGGAGACGCTCGTATTACCCAGCGTGGTGCGCGGGGGAGACGCTCGTATTACGTCTGCTGTTGTCGTCGCGGCGACGATGCATCGTTGTTGTCGTCGCTGCGGCAACAATGCGCGTTCGAGCTCTGGATCTAGATCTAGGCGCGTAGCATGATAAGGGATGTTAGTAGTGTATTGCGATTACGTTGCTTTTGTCACTAGTTAACTAGAACAATTTCCATTTGCGAGTACGCGATATTTGTAGCCGATGGGTGTTGAAGTGCTGAAAACTAGCATTGCAGAGTTGGCAATCGAACCCGCGAAAGACATACACTTGTCATCAGTACGTTCCAACCGGGTATCTCCGCGATTGACCGGTATGCCACGCAGGGGGCGCCACTGCGGCAGAGCGGAGCGTGACTAACCCGCGCGCGCGCGCACGTTCTTGTGTTTCACGCAGATCGCGGCTGAGCTGGCAGCGCCGCTCGCGCGCACGGACTCGATCGTGCTGCTGGGAGGCGACGATCGCGGCACGTCAGAGATGACGCGGCTGCTCAGCCAGATCCCGCCGTCCGTGCAGGCGCTGACGGGAGTCGACCTGTCGCAGGTACGTACGTCGTTATCACACCTGCCGCAGGTACGTCGTTATCACACCTGCCGCAGGTACGTCGTTGTTCTTATACCTGTGCAGTTATCACACCTACACCTATCATAGGTATGTCATCGTCCCACAAAAATTCTCTGCCACCAAACATCCTCATCTGCCACTGCCCACACCACCACCTTACAGGAACTAGCTCCTATCCTTACATGTACAGAGATGCCAACCACTACGATTTATCCGTATTTTATACGAATTTCTATTCCTTTTGCACCACTACGACCAGTTTGTATCAGGAGTAGATAATAGGGAATTTCCTATTATCTACTCCTGGTTTGTATCAAACTACGAATTTCACTGTGATCAAAAATATTTTTGTTGTTGTCAATTATTGTCATTTTTGACCCTCAGAATGCAGGAAATTGCATCTCAGAATCAAAAAAATTTCCGGTGGGCATGCCGGACCCCCCTAGCAAACTCGGGTCACGTACTAATTTGATGGCCAGAAACTACAGATTTATTCAAATATGTGTTGGCATCTGTGCATGCAGCCCTCCGTAACAACGTCAAACTGCTGCAGGTACTGAAGCAAGTCCCCGGAGCAAAGTAAACGACCGGGCGCACGCGCGTCAAGTGCTAAGGGATGGATCGCGAGTGACTGTTCGGAACAGGCGGAGACTTGGAACCACGGATGTCGTCGATCGTCATCCGAATCGATTTTCGACGAAAAATCCTCTCGGAGTAGCGCGTCACGACACCTGGTGGCCGCAATCGGTACCGAGTCGGCGTACGCGGCTTGAGGTTTGTCATTGGGATGTAAAACGTTCACACTTGCCTTTTTGGAGAAGGTTTCCGGAACCGAGACTCCTCATCGTTACTGATTAAGGAAACGCAAATATGCAAATTGAATGTTGGTGGACAGATTCGCCGCGTTTCAGCCCTCTGGATTTTACCTCGCAATTCATGTGGCATGAAATGTTGTTTTTATACACGTTTTTCTCTTCGTTTGCGAGAGAAGTCGTCATCGCTAAATCGAAGCGAGGAGTCGTGTGTTTGTGAGCTCTTCCCTTAGTGTTGCGTTTTCCTCTTATATGTTTAAACCCTCGTCTTCTTGTTGCTGCTGTAGTGTGAAGATTTCTACCATTGCAGGGGAAGAGATTTATCGTTTAGATCAAAGAAGTCTGATAGATTTTGTGCGTTCAAAATTAAGGAGTCTACAGTCTGAAGTTGATGGCTACCACTAACAGTAATACAGCGGAGAAATCATCTCAAAATAGCATAAATTATCGTATCGCTGTTGTCTGCTGTACATGATTGCTTTTGGTATTTTTAAAATCGCATTCAGCATTAGTGTACGGTGAACAACAGTAACGCACTAATTTATGATGTTTTTCTCATCATTTTCGTGCATTATCGTTTAAAAGTTGAGTCATCAACTTCCGTCTGTGTATTTTGGAATCTCGGTTACGTATAGCAGAATTTTTAAGGGAGTCGCACCAGTAACGACCGACGTCAAGTCAGCGAACCCAACAGTAAAAAACATTGACATTGACATTGACAGTTTGACATTGAACGTTAATTTCGTACCTAGGTAACCCTGTCGTTGCCGTGTTTGGTGACCAGATATCGTAGCATAATTAAACTCATGTAGTGAGTGGTAAGCCTTAAGTTTCCTACGTCTTCGACTGGATTATACGCAACTAGTCTATACTAGAGAGCCACGAGTCGAAGGTGTGTAAAGCTAAGGCACTCTCATCTCGGAATCTCACGAGGAGGGAACGAATCGTCTTCGGTTAGATTTTATTCGTCATCGCGGTTCGTTATACGCGACCGCTCTTTTTTAATTTTTAAACTACGTAATGCATGAAATTATTCCCCCCCTCCCTAACTCATCTCACGAGAATCTCGTAGGTTTCCATGATAACGGTATTCGTGTAAATATGTGGTGGAATTAGAATGACGCCCCCGTAACGTGTCTTAGTATAATAACTAGATGTTTGTTGCTAGCGTCATGAGAACGTAATATCAGGGGTTATGACAAAATTTATTTGACATAACAATGACAATTATTTAACACAATAAAGACAATTATTTTACATAATAATGGCAAGTTTAATGGAATTTTTTTTGTCATTATTAACCCCTGATAATATATATATATGCATATATATATATACATATACCTAGTATTCTCTAGTGTCAGGGTAGCTCTACCCATGTAGCTCTTTGCTCCCGCTATACTGCGGTACCCATCGCTCACCATGTAGAAGGAGGGCAGAACTACGAGGTGGTAGTATAGAGTTGGCATCCTTAGTGCAATGAGCCCGCAAGTATCGCATAGAGAGGTTCGCGCATGCAGACGTCGATATTAGCATCAAAATAACTCAAAACGTATATTAATTAACGTAAATACTTTTAACTCGACAAGGATAGTTAGTGTATAGGCGTCGGACTCGCCGAGGCGGCGAGTGGAGAGGCGCGGCGGCGGAGTTGGCGTAACAGTATTCAGGTTTGCTTGCTTGGAGTCGGGCTCCCGACCTTTATGCGTACATGTGTGTGTGTGTCGTGTGTAGTGTGCGTCGTGTTCTAAGAGCGCGTGTGAATGTGTAACCCATCAAAGTACGTTGTCTCCCTCCCACCCACGCACACACACACGTAGACTTATTTCTAGTCATTGTTGTTGTTGTTGTTGAAACAACGGAGAATCGAAATTATTTTCGTCGTTTTTTTTCGTGGAGTGGTTATAGCCGTTATTAGAGCGATATTAATTAGTGTAATTAGTAATTAGCGATTAGAGGCGCGGCGGCGCGACGATTGCACGCGGCAGCTTTCCTTCTTCCTCTCGTTAGTTTCTCCGTCTCGTCAGAAGACAGTGTGGCGAGTCATGTCAGAGTTTTAGCTACGCCTTAAAGTTGTGTTCTGACGACAGCTGCTCAGAAGGAGAAACTCAGGAGATTACTATCTCTCTAGCACCACTTGTTTTAGGAGAAACAATCGTAGTCACAACGCTCCCTGGTGTCACGCATGTGAACTAATAGCACTGACTCAGAGCAATGGAGCTATATACATATCGAGAGTAGGCCTACCATAATAGAAATTTGTTTTCCATTATGGTACTCTTGATACATGTATGTATATATGTACTTATATATATTATATGTATATATATAGCGCTATATGTTATGCTTGGGGGCTTGTTCAGTGGGCAGGCTGTCGTGTGCAGGTGTGCGCCATCGTCGCTGTTATGGTTTGAGCGTTGCACAAAATTCGTTATATGATCTAACCGTTTTATATAGAGTCAGTTTTCTATACTATCGTTTAAGAGTTGTGTGCGCGCGTGCGTCCCCTACATATATATATATATATATATATATATATATATATACGTATATGTTTTTACGACAAACTTTTCGTGTTTTTCCCGCCGACGTTAACAGTCATGTATTAAAACGAGATTATGTAATAGTAGGCGTGGAGGGAGAGCGTTTCTTCCAGATCACATGTGCCAGCAAGCCGTCAGCGTGTGCGCGTGCGCGCGGGCGGGGGCGTGTGCGAGGAGTCGTCAGTTGTCATGGTGATGCACGGACATCTGGCGACGGCAGGACGACGTCGCGCGCGCGCGCGTGCGCTGTCCATGCGAGCTCTGGCGCTGAGGGTGAGGCTAGGTGGCAGCACCAGCGCGACACATTGCCGCGTCGCTGGCAGAACGCTGTGACATCATTCACTACCAGCCATAACATTACTAAAACAATGGCCATAATAGAGTGAGGGCTGAGGGAGGAGGGAGGCGTTGACATTGCGGTCGTCTCGTCAGGTTAATAGTCGTGTGTTAACTCCCGCTTCCCCCCGTGTGAAACAGTATTACTTATCGTTATTGTAGAGCTCCGACAGCGCCACCTGGTGTACGCTGGCGACGTGACAGCGCCCCCTGGTGAACGCGACAGCGTATCTTTGATGAGTCGTGGGGTTCGCGTTGACAGAGTGCGTGAGCGGGATGAACGGCGTCTGCTACGTTTCGTCATGCTTATCATAAATCAAACTACCAACCTGCACGCATCAATTAGTATTAATTAGAGGTAATCGTTGGCACGCGGTGGCCGCGTCGCGAGTTCGAGGCGTTCGCGACTGAGATGCGACGACGTCATCGTGTGAGGTGTGACGACGTCAGATCGGAGTTATTCCTCTCTGTTGTTCTCCGTCGGCGGGAATATTTTTGCGGCGGCGGTGTGTTGTATTGCGGTGCATGTTGTTTTAAACTTTGTCGGTGCCTTCGCCGCCGCGGTCGTCTGTGCGCGGTGGCAGCTGACGACAATTCGTACTCGTGTGTGTTGTTGTAATGTTCTACGTGGCCACGGACTAGCGGTGGCGCCAGTGTCACCATGCATGTACTCGATATATATATATGTATACTGCTATGTATACGGTGTGACACGTATTAGAGTAATAGATATACACGTTCGTGGCGTTATCTGATCGCTGTCATTGATTCAGTATTAACACTCCTCCTCCTTCCCTTCCTTTTCCGCCATCACCTTCTCCTCGTTCCCTCCTGTTCCTCCCTCCTTCTCCTTCTCCCCTTCCTTTTCCGCCATCACCTCCTCCTCGTCTCTCTTCTTCTCTTCCTCCTCCCTCCCTCCTGCTCCCCCTTCTCCTCTTCCTCTCCTCCTCCTCCTACTCCCCCCTCTTCCTGCTCCTCCCCTCCTCCTCATCCTCCTCCTGCTCCCCCCTTCTCCTGTTTCTCTCCTCCTCCTCATCCTCCTCCTGCTCCTCCTCCTCCTCCCCTCCTCCTCACAGTCGTCCATCTGCACACACCACGTTAGGAAGCCATTGCTTGCCAGACTCATTCTGTCATCATCCATGATCGCGCTGGGAGCGGCGATGCAATTAACGGGTGGTCGCCGGGCCACCTAGGACCCCTGTCTCTCCACCTCCTCCCCTCCCCTCCCCCCGTCCCCCCGTCCTGCCTCGCCCCACCCTCCAGGAATCTCCCCCATGCAGGACCCTGTGACGGGTCATGTAGCAATGCAGTGGATACAAACATTTTCGTCTTAACATTAATTAGTCGTAACATTATTAACTTTTTCTAGTGTGTCGTCAACAGAGTTTTGTTTCGCGCGAAGGAACTCGTTAGGATTTCTTCGTCGTTAATGGTAATTACTTTACGGATGTTTCTCACAAAGAGGCCCGTTGGCGTTTATATATAATGTTGTAATAAGGTGTGGCGACTCATATCCGTCAGTTTACGCGTTCTCGGTTCTCAGGCCAACAAACGCTCGCGACTCGCGGGTGTGCGGAAGATGATGTGTTCCTGACGTTTAATAAATCCTATGTTTGTCATAGCAAAAACTCGAGGTTGCCTTCAGTTTGTAATCTTGGTCTATTGGTTATAGTAGATATTGTAGTTTTATTGTCCGTCTAGATCTATTATAATAATTATTATTATTATTATTTGTCTATTTGTGTAGGTATATTACTCATCTAGTATTATTATTATTATTAATATTATTTGTCTATTTGTGTACACATTAGTAGATATGCTTGTCAAATAGATGATCAAAGCTGTTATTGACTCGAAACCCAGGATATTAAAAACACATCTCGTACAAACACACTGGAACTCGCTGATCAAATAAGAGTAACAGTATTTTATTTACTCAACATATATCGTAGTTACATGACCGTGTTTGGCGAAAACTAAAAAAAGAACTGTACAGAAAAAAACAGCGTGTCTCAAGTACCGCTAACTTCGTCGCGTGAACAAACAAACAAACAAACAACTTATACGATGGTAATAAACAAATTACGTACGCGGTGTGCCTACATGTTTACCTGTACAAGTATTTATATACCTGGCAAGACGGACCGGGCATTCTACCGCAGAACGGTGCAAAATCACGAAATCTAAAACGCATGAACTAGAACAGACAACTTCATTATATCAAAAGCTAATAAATAAATATATATTTGTTAGCTTTTGATTATATATATATAGAGAGAAGACATAGAAGAATCCATTATTACATCATCAAGCATCCACACGAAACGTGTGACAAGAAATTTACACGAATCGACCCGTTATGCTTTATTAATGCGATATCTACATCAGGAGCAGAATGTGAGATCTGCTATTATGTAACTCCTGACCGATATCTCACTATACCTCCCTCCCTCCTCTCTAAATAATTTATTCATACTTATATATTTATAATATATTCATTTGGCCGTTGCTATTCAGTTGCTAGATATTGTAAAGCTTGCTTGGAGAGCGTATGAAAGAAATAATAAGAGCGAGAGGGAGAGAGAGAGACATAGATAGTAAGAGGGAGAGAGTGAGAAGATATATATATATATAGAGAGAGAGAGAGAGAAGGAAGAGAGGAAGAGAGAGACAGATACAGTAGAGAGAGAGAGGGGGGGAGCGGAGACATGGCATAGCAGAGACAGAGACGAGGAGACTGCAAGAGAGAGAGCGAGGGAGAGAAATACATGAGAGAGAGAGGAGAGGAACGGGAGAGAGAGAGAGACAGGGTGGGAATAAGAAGAAGACGATAGAGACGATAGCATGAGAGAGAGAGGGAGAGAGACATCAACAGGAGAGAGCAGAGAGGGAGAGAGATAATACATACATATGAGGAGAGAGCAAGCAGACATGCATAGAGGAGAGAGAGAGAGGAGAGGACAACACAGAAGATATATAGAGAGAGAATACATAGCTGAGACAGAGAGCAGAGAGAGGGAATCGATATTGAGAGAGAGCGGAGGACAGTAACAGAGGATATGAGAGAGAGAATGACACAGAGACATAACTTAGAGAGAGAGACATATATGGTGAGAGATAGGAGAGAGAGACATACACAGAGATATATATTAGAGAGAGACATACATGCGGAGAGATAGAGAGAGAGGAGGACTAGACGACTCGTAAGTATTAGTCTTATTTCACTGCTATGTAGTAGATAGATGTTGTGTGTAGTCAGTTGTCCAGTGAATAACCACTTGAACAACACCCGTAGAACGAGGCGACTCCTCATCGCATCACGGAGCGTACGATAGAGGGAGCTTGCCACACTCACGCCTCCGTAACGATGCCGACAGCCTCATCGCATCCCAGGAGCACGAGAGGGCGAAGCTGAACAGCCTCCGTATACGATGCCGCTCCCTCATCGATCCCAGGAGCCACGAGAGGGAAGCTGACACACCTCACGCGCCGTAACGATGGGACATCTCTCTCATTCCAGGAGCACGAAGAAGGAAGCCTGCAGCACACGGCCTCCGTAACGATTCCACATCCTCATGCCGCATCCAGCGAGCACGAAGAGGAAGCTGCACACCTCACGGCTCCGTAAAAACAGATCGCCCGCATCCTATCCCATCCAGCGAGCACGAAGAGGGAGCTGCACACCTCACGGGCTCCGTAACGACTGTTGACATTCTCATCCTCCATCCGCAGGGGCACGAGAGAAGCCTGCAGCACACGGCTCCGTAACGATTGCAGCATCCTCATCCGGCTCCCAGGAGGCAGCGGCACGAAGAGGAAAGCGCAGACACGGCTCCGCTGAAAGCGGATATCCACATCCTCATCCGCATCCCAGGAGCACAGAGGAAGCCCTGCCACACCTCACGGCTCCGTATACGATGCACATCCTATCCGCATCCCAGGAGCACGAGAGCGGAGCTGCCACACCTCACGGCTCTGCTATACGATGGACATCCTCATCCGCATCCCAGGAGGCAGGAGCCGAAGAGCAAGCTGCCACACTCACAGCTCACGTAACGATGCGACATCCTCATCCGCCATCCCAGGCAGACGAAGGGAAGCTGCACACCGCACGGCTCCGTAACGATCCGCATCCGCTCATCCGCTCCCATGGAGCACGAAAGGAGGGAGCGGACACCTCACGGGACTCCGTAACGATGCGACATCCTCATCTCATCCCAGGAGCCACGAAAGAAGGAAGCTGCAGCACACGGCTCCGTAACGATGCCACATCTCATCCGCATCTCAGGCAGCAAACGAGAGCGAAGCTGCAGCACACGGCGATCAAGCACCGGTGATGCTGGTACTTAGCGTAGGTGCGTGACATACATCGCAGGCGGGACGGTGTTGAGCCTCTCATGTTGTGAGCTCGCTGTCTCATCACATGTCGGACTGCATTGGAGCATTCGGTGCCCTGCCCAGCATAGTAGGCAGCTCTGTGAGCTCGGGACTCTCTCCACGATGGTCGGGCATCGACAACATGACCTTGTCAACGACAAACACGTACGTGACCCAAAGACAACATGGCGCACACATAGACACTGGTTACTGTCGTTACTGTGCAGCTAAAGTACACACACACGCACACACGCACGCACGCACGCACGCACACACACACACACACACATATATATATATATATATATATTATATATATATGGTAGACATGTACGCACTAATGATTACTTACTTATATATAGTACTATCATATCCNACAGAGAGATAGAGAGAGACATACACAGAGAGATATAGAGAGAGAGACATATATGGTGAGAGATAGAGAGAGAGACATACACAGAGAGAGATATAGAGAGAGACATACATGGTGAGAGATAGAGAGAGAGACATACACAGAGATATATATAGAGAGAGACATACATGGTGAGAGATAGAGAGAGGGAGGGGACTAGACGTGTAAGTATTAGTCTTATCTCACTGTATGTAGTTATACTGTTGTGTGTAGTCGGTGAGTAACAACCACTTAACAACAAACGTAACGATGCGACATCTCATCCGCATCCCAGGAGCACGAAGAGGGAAGCTGAACACCTCACGGCTCCGTAACGATGCCACATCCTCATCCT